ATTCGATGCGAATTTATGCACCCAAAATACGCGTGCATCAAGAATGATTGGTTAGATTTGCAGATCAATAAACAATAACGCTAATACTTCTGGTTTTCAATGGAATCTTCTAACGCTAATACTTCTGGTTTTCAATGGAATCTTCTAACGCTAATACTTCTGGTTTAAAATACCCTGGTAAATTTTTACTCAATCCCTTCGCTGTATTCAAAGACGCAACGTGTTTTTCATATGTTTATTTTTTCAGAATACTGGAATCGCCCATATTCAGCTTGGGGGACTCTTACCGCATGGGATAAGTTTTTTAAAGAGAAAACTCGCAATTTAAGTTTGCAGGATTCGCGCCTCTGTTTAACTAATGAACTCGAAATATTAGAAGGGAAGTTTGGACCTTGTACAAATCAAAGAAAAAAAGTTGTTGCTCTTCTCAGAGCTCTCAAGGTCAGTACTTTCGCGCTTCAACTTCTACATGTGTGCCATTTTTATGGAGAGCGTCCGGACATAGAGCATCCACGACATGCATATGTAGTAGTTGAGCTGTGCCCCTGTGCTACATGCATGGGGGAGAGCGTCCGGACATAGAGCATCCGCGACATGCCCCTGTGCTACATGCATGAGGGAGAGCGTCCGAACATAGAGAGCATCCGCGACATGCAGTTAGGGAAAGTCCAGACTTAGCATTCTTTGCTAATTTTTTTCTCAAATTAATAAAATTATTAGAAAGGATCAGTAAGTCTTGGAAAAAGAAAAGTAGATCACGAAAATGATGATGGCAATGTATGTGAAGTAGAGGAACTCTACGTCGATGTTAATGAATTTCCTGAGTTACTTAAGTACTGTCAAAGTATCAAAGAAATGCAAGAAAATCATATTGATGAGATTTCTCAGTCGGGAAGACACCTTTCTATACTTTTAAAGTGGTCGGTTGTAGATAGCAAGCTTTTCAAGATACCTGTAACTCCACCGACTATTTCGAGACCTGCTCTTAATCTTCATAACCTCAAAGTCATATTTAAAGAATATCCTGGCCTACAAGCTGATAACATTCTGGATGCATTGATTGAAGATAAAAAAATCGGAATAGTCCGAACAAACGGGTGGTTGGAATGGCTTGGCCTAAAAAAACAAAATCATGATGACTACTTTCATTCAGTAGATACTTATACAGCACTGTCAGCAATCATGTCAGTACTCCTTTATAATCCTGTTCAATGTCGAGGACTTGGTA